TGGTTTGCTGTGTACAGTCCATTTTTCAGAAGCTCCTCCATGTCAACTTGTACCTTTTGTGTTCCAGTTCTTCCCTTCTGCTAGTCTGATATGTAATGACACTGCTCTGATCTGCTGCTTGGTGTTTGGCCATATAAACACTTCTGACAGGAGCTAACAACATTGGTGCTAAACCACACTGCCAAAAAAAAATATAGTCATGTATATGAGATTTAAACCCAAGCCTCAGAAGTTCAGCCAAGGAATAGAAGCGACATGTGACTTTTAAAGTTAGCACTCCCTACTTTGTCCTGTATAATCCAGTAGCAGAGGAATTACTCAGCAAATTGTGAATAACCTAGACAACAATAATGGAAGTGGCTGGGGGGGGGGGGAGATGACATTAGTCAGATTTGTTTATTTATTGTGACTCACACGCTTGTAAAGAGAGGGTTCCTGCCCTGCTGTCAAGCAGTCACAGCACAGAATTCTGAAAGCTTCCCTGGTGAGCAGAGCCTCCTCTTCCAGAATAAGCATTGGCGTTGCTGAGTGAATCAAATGGGCCTCCAGAGGCAACATCTTGCTAAAAGCTGCGTCGCGTGTGACAGGGGCATTAGGACAGACGTAAAGGAGAGTGTCTTTGTCAGACGTCGTCATCGTGTTTCTGTCTGGCATTCCTAACCTGTATGAAAACCGTGTTCTGAGGTTGCCGGTGCAGATACAGGAGCGATAAAAGGAAGCTGGCCAAAATGTGTGTTGCTTTATTAAAGGCTGTATTTACAACTGTAATTCTTTCCAGGTAAACATCACTTTACTGGACATTAATGATAACTACCCCGTGTGGAAGGATGAGCCATACTTCATTAACTTAGTAGAGATGACTCCTCCAGACTCGGATGTCACAACGGTATGTGCTGGTGGGGAGGGGGGAAACATACCCACAATTCTTTCTGTAGTTCAGAACCACCATTTTAATGTATTATGTAGATGTGCAGATTTATTTATTTTTAAAGCAGGTATGAAATAAAAAGTAATTGGCATACATAGTCTTCAGGTATGTTTGGCACACTTTACCCAAAAGAAATACTCATAAACACCGTTCTGATGTTGCGTGGGGGCCCAGGGGGGCTTACAGAAGAAGGGATAAGCACACACAGACCAACAGAAGCAGTTCACCTGGAGGGGTGGAGCCAGAATGCTAACTTCCCACAGCTGTGTTGCTGCTGCTTACTGGGAGGGGGGGAGATCAGGGCTCTGCAGGGGCACCTGTGGAGTCAATCAGGCATTCCCACCGACTTCCTCATTACCACATCACTTCCCCTTCCAGTAAGCATCATTGCTTGTCCAGATATATTTGCTCAGAAGCAAGACTCCTCGAGACTCTTGGGTAAGTGTGCCAAAGATTGCAGCCTCATTCTCTTAACTTTGGATTTTGGAGGCTTGGTTGTGGTTGCTCACTGGCGGTGCAAACACAATTTGAATATGGGCAGAAGCATTCCCTCCCGTGAACACAAAGAGACAGTGCCTGTTAACAGGCTGGGAGAGTCCCTGCTTCCAGGACCTGACACTGGCTTCTTACACATCTTCCACAGCCTGATATTAGTGCAGTTCAGGTACAAATAAGTGTTAAAGCCAGTTTGCTATTCTGGCAATTAAAGTGCCGTGGCAACATAAGAAGTCGAATTTCCCTGGATAATGGCCGGTCAGTAGATAGCCATTTTTAATTCTATGTTTCAGAATGTACTAATAGAATAGGGATAGAGATCATTAGATTAGGAGCTGATGGATTGTCCTTCATTAACCAATGAGAATGCATTGCTAGCTATCCCTCTTTTTATATTCGATTGTTGAGTCTTGCATCGCAAACAGGTTACATGGCTGGGCCAGAACTCCTGATAAAATAAAGGCAGTAAATCCCATATTCATTTTCACAGCTTTCCTTGCTTTTGAATGGCATGCAGTGAAAATAAATTATTGAATGTTACTATTATCCATTAAGGGCAAAGGGGAATCAGCAAAAGGTGTGATAGAAACCAAGAATGGTCAGCTGGTAGTCTGCAAGTAACACCAGGCGCATACACAAAAAGATCAATGTAATTAAAAGAGAGAGATTAAAAGCATTGTTATTTATTAAATTTATATATCACCCTTCAACAAAGCATGCACTGAACAGAATACAGAAGTTGTCAGTTTATCACATAACTCTAAAATCCAACACCTGATTGCAGTGTTTGCGCATTAACGTTTTGTCAGGGAACTGCTCATGATGTCCTCCGCACACCAGCCAACAGGGAGCCTTCTGTCATGCTGCATCACAGCATCTCTGGCCCCCATGGTCTGTGAGCGCTGCTGCTTGTGGGGCCAGATTCTGCCTGCCTTTACGCTGCTTAATAGAAGCAGACACAGCTAGCGTATCCATGCAGGGAGACCACTGCCTTATCCCCAATAATCCTAGGTGCTAGAGTAGGTTCTGTTGAACCAAAACAAACTTTTTTTTTTCCTGAGTAGGCATGGTTAGGTTCTCACTAACTAGGCTGCAATCCTAGTTCAGGAATGCCTGCCTGCTTTTGAATTTGCTGCAGCAATTACAGTGGGAAATAAAGCACTATATCAAGGGCCATGTGCTTCCGCCTGATTACGGAAGAGCAATGCTTCAGCAGCCCCAGAGGACACTATTGTGGAAAGGACCTTACAGCAAAGATTGGCCCATTCCTTAAGAGCGTCACTTATTTGGGTTTTTTTTGGTTATTTAAAGCATTTTTGCCCTACTCTAAAAGAGTCCCCTACACACACACTTTCACCACACATACACCCAAATGTATAAGGCTGGCAGACCCTAGTCTAAATTCGTCAGTCTGCGGTTTGTGAACAAATACTTGTCGGAAGGATTACGGCCCTTTATTTTTAACATAATGACCAATTCATCTTGCTGTAAAGACGTGTGGATTGCCAGTAACTGTTAGCAATGATTATTTATTTATTGCAATTAAAGGCGTAGCCTTTGTAAGGTTAGCGATAAAACAGTTTGCAATAAAGCAAAATTGCAAGCGAAATTAATCATGAACTGGCCATTTAACCCTCTTTTGCTTCATCTGCAGCCATTCCCAGTCCTTCACTGGGGAGTTTGGGCATCAGAATTTCAACTGGAATACAAGAGCAGGCTTATAACCAGTAACAATGTAGGTCAGCAGATGGCATACATCTTCTTTAGTACAGTGGTTTTCAAACTTATCTTACAGTGGTACCTCGCTTTATGAACTTAATTCGTTCTGGAAGTCCATTCTTAAACCAAAGCGTTCTTAAACCAAGGCGCGCTTTCCCTACTGAGGCCTCCCGCCGCCAGTACCCTTCTACCGTTCGGCTTCCATACATCTTCTGAGGCAAAGTTCGCTAACCAGAACACCTACTTCCAGTTTTGTGGAGTTTGTACACCAAATAGTTTGTTAACAGAGCTGTTCGTAGACCGAGGTACCGCTGTATAGGAAACCTCAGAATTTCTTGGAAACTTAACAGAGTTCCTTAATGGAAAGGGATATATGCTCCTTTCATGATGGGAAATGGTAAAGTTCCAATATGTCTGGTTAATGCTAGCATGAACAAAGCGTGTCTCTTAAAGCATAGCACAGAATCCTATGTGACCCACTAAGGTTCCGTGAAAGATGAGCAGGTAGTTTTTCTCAGCAGACAAGTCAATATATAGGAGGTTTCCTGAAGGGGGTAGAAAAAGAAAAGGTTAGTGGTATGTATTTATTTAGTCATATGAAGACTGACAGTCGCTGCATTCGCCCACCCCACGCTGGTTTTCATTGGATTCTGAAGCACCAAGGCTACATAATTTATTCCACATCCAGTTCCTGTACCATGAACTCTGTTTCCTCTGCTGTGGTTCTGGACCTTAATGTGATTTGGAAGGCATAAAATCATAGTCCTCACATTGCACTCACAGTTCCCACCCTTTTGCAAACATGGCATAGTCATTCATAATGTGTGTGTGTGTGTGTGCGCGCGCGCGCACGCACACATTAGGGTTGCCTCCGTGTGTTTTAAAGTAAAATTTTGGGCCAATTTCAACTTTCCCAGCCTTGCTTGCGACCTCCTTCAAGGACCTCTCTGAAAGGCATTGATTTAAAGCCTTTCAAATCCCTCTGGCAAAATAAAAGAGAAGGAGAGGGAGAATTATTCTCCATCACACTAGGAGAAAAATGACGGGCGTGAAACAGAAAATAAATGAGGGGAAAGCGGAGAGAATCCACAAAATCATCAAACAGGAAAGACTGTGTTTTTTTAAAAAAACACCATAATGAAACATTAATCTTCTGGGGAGGAGGGGAAATAGCAAAGGTCTCTCGTCCAAGTTCACTGTGTAGAAATTAACTCTCAGTTACCTTAACTGGCCTTTGAGCTCCCCCTCTCTCCCCCATCCATGAACAAACTTCGCCCCCTGAGTGCTCCATCAGTCTTGACAGGGCTCCGACTCCTTGTACTTCTGTTTCTGTTAGGGAAAATGTATTGGCAACTTAACACGAAGTAGCTTTAATGAAACATGAAATCAATTGTGCATGTGCTGATCAAATACAATTTATTTCTATGTAATTAAAAAGTAATATAATGACTTCAAAATTCCAAATCTGGTTCTCATTTAGAACTCCTGCATCCAGTCAGTTTCCATTTCAAGATGTTCAATTACAGATTGATTCACTGAAGTAAATTCAGCCACCTTTTCCCCCCACCTTGAAGTAACCTTTCCAGTCTCCTTGTAGGAGACGCAATATTCTTTAAGTCGTATCTTTGTTCTTATTGCGTGTAATTTGTTGTTCGTTCCTACTGTGGGGTGATGGTTAGTGTCAGACTGTGACCCGGGAGACCAGTGTTCAAATCCCTACTCAGCCATGAAGCTCACTGGGTGACCTTGGGCCAGTCACTGTCTCGGCCTAGTCTGCCATACACATGCCTTTGAGCTCCTTGGAGGAAAAGGTGGTAAATAAATATATGTAATTTAAATAAAATAAAATATAAACAGTCATTTTTGACCAGGTACCTGTAGTCCTGAAGACGACTTATTTTTCTAAGTCATCTTCAGGACTACAGGTACCTGGTCAAAAATGGCTATATTTTATTTTCCACACCATCAAAATAAAAAGCATGCCACTTTAAAATAGGTCTAAATACTAAACAATAAAAACAAACAGGCCCAAGCCAGAACAGCAGCAGCAATGAAAACATTTGCAGTTTACTCGCCAGTGGGAAAACTTGCAGGAAAAAGGTGGTTGTCAGGGAACTGACATCGGAGCTAGAGGCGGAGGGAAGGCTCTCAAATGATGCTGGAGAAGGGCCCGGCAGGGAGAGAGGCAGCTCCGCAGATGGGGAAGCAAATCAGCGCAACACCAGGGATACAGGGGGGCAGATGGGGGAATCGGCGAGAGGGCTCCAGGACTCTTCACCGGACACCAGCGGGGAGAGCACGGGTCCTCCACTACCCACGCCCTCCCTGCGCAGAAGACTTCCGCGCAGAGAGAGTAGGAGGAGACTGGGTGTCAAACAACTTTTATGTTGGAAAAGATTTAAGAAACGCCCACTGACGGATTCTGCTAGCGACTGAGGCAGCCACGAAGTGAAGGGCTGCCCAGACTGAAAGGTTTAACAAGGCAACAAAGCCAGGAGAGGCGGCAACTTACGCACGAGCAACCCATACTCATTACAGTGGTCTTTAGAGAATTATTCTTAGTGGATGACCGTAGTCAGGGAGTTTCACAAGAGAGGTGCCACTGCAAAGAAGACTCTGTCTAATACAAAACAGAGCATGAAACAAAGGAGCCTCTGTGTATCTTAAAAGATGAAGAGGAACATGGAGAACGGCACTTCCAAAGATTCATGGGCTGTTTGTCACATTTAGATGCATCTTCTGGTTTTGCAAATACTTCAGCATATATTCAGAAGTCTTTACAAATTAAGACATAACATATACAGTATGTATTTGCAGCCACTGTCCTGTATTCACCTTTGGAGGTGATTTAAAAATAAAAGACAGTTTTATACAGTGCGATCCAAGTCAAATGGGAATCACATTGTGAGCATGAGATTGTGGGGCAGCCAGTCATTTCAGACTACATGAAGATTTTATTGAGGGCAAACAATGCAACTTCATTGCCCTCATTCTGAATTAAAGAGTCAGTGCGAGTTAAGACTATGATAGAGAGTAGAGCAGGGACACGTTCACCATTCAGGGTTAGGGCAGTAAGAGGGTTTCATTTGTCGTTAGTGATGTTCCCCAGTAGCCAAATCTGATTTGGTACATAGTGATGTCACAAAGAGCAGATGAAACCCTCTCATGGAACTCACCGTGAGTGGGGGAGCGAAGAAGGAATTTATTTATTTTTTTGTCAAGGCAACCAGGCTGATGAATTCCCTTTTCCACAGACACCTGCCTCTGAATAACACAATGAACTTTCTTTTGCATCCTTTCTAATCTCCCCCTTTCACCCAGTGGACATACACAGCTTGCAAACAGGATCTGCATCTCAAGGAATAGAAAGACCTTTGCAGCACTCTGCCAGCAAACTGAAATGTTGCAAATATTTGCAAATTAATTGCAATATACAAATGAGCAGTGTCCTTTAGCTATTAGCATGGGTTGTGCGGGGTTGTACTAAAGTAACCATGATTGCAACTATGTTTGGATATGATAGTGTGCTTTATTTTTTTAGATCATAATTTTTTGTTTATTTTCAACTTCAACGTAACAATAACAAAGGAAGTAAACCAGGGAAGAGCCAATAGAAATCACAAGTTCATGCAAGCACAGATATTACATTTGAAAGCAAGAGCAAAATGGGAAGAAAAACCCACTAGGCAAAAATAAAAATAAATGCAGTGTTATGACAGGAGCCATGGGATAATATCTGAGGATATGGTCTGTCCAAAAAAGGAAAGTGATCATTTGATGGGCAGCTAGTACATCCAGGTTGAGTTAGAAAGATTAGAAAAGGCCAAGATTAGAAAAAGCTGTGAGAGGGTGTTTTGTAAGACCAAACAAAATTATTTTTTTAAAGGGAAGGACATGCAAAAAAAAGCATTTTGAACATCTTTGATGAGATAATGTGTTTTAATCTCCCCAAACTTCATGGCCTCCCAGCTTAACTGAAATGCTGTAAGTGGAATGATCCTTTGCCAGGAAGGGGCAACAGAATTCTTATTCTCCTACATTCAGTTATTCTGTTTTGCTTGGACATTTTTTCACTGGCACATCAGCCATGGTGACTGTTGCTGTACCACGAAAGAGCATCAGGACAGCTTCTTCAGTGAGACTGTGTTGTGTACTTAAGTGAATGGAATCGGACTCATGCTTTTATTCCGCATCTTTTCTGTTTCATGCTTCAGTTTAGAAGCCAGCTGTACAGATGCACGAAAAAAATGAAAAAGGCTTTATTTATTTTTGGTCTCTTATCAATATACCATCACTCTTTTGATCTCTGTAGGTGGTTGCTTTTGACCCAGACCTAGCAGAAAACGGTTCCCTCGTGTACAGCATTAGACCGCCAAATAAATTCTACAGTCTTAACAGCACCACAGGGAAGATTCGGACAACAGGGGTTGTCCTGGACAGAGAAAATCCAAACCCCCAGGAAGCTGAGCTCATGAGGAAGATTGTGGTCTCCGTCACTGATCGTATGCTTGCTTCAATTGTTCTGTGAATACTTTAGCGCTCCGTTAACTACCTGCTATACATTCTTACATACTAGCTGTCACATTCTTATATATTTTGTGCTCTTGATTAAAAAAAACCACATCCCTCTATAACTTTCCCCCATAGTAGGTACATAGCAGTAGCAGCAACAATTATAGATTGCTTAAAGTTAGATAAATGCTAGCTTCTACACTCTTACTTCTGCAATTTATTTTAACAGTTTTGTTATCGCTCTGACATTTCCCAAGTCTGATTTTTTTTTCATTGAAAGTGAATTGCCAATTACTTGAAGAGGAATGAACAGGGGTTTCTTCTTGATATATAGAGGTTCGCTAAGACAAAATATTAGAAATTTTATTTTTCGGTCTCTGGGGTGCTCGTGAGACTAGTTGTGACTCTTCTGATCTCTGCAGGTGGAAGACCACCATTGCGAGCCACCAGCAGTGCCACAGTGTTTGTAAACCTGCTGGATCTCAATGACAACGACCCCGCTTTCCAGAATTTACCTTTTATCACTGAGATTCCTGAGGGACTTCCAGCAGGGTCATCCGTTTTCCAGGTGAATCGCCGTTACTTTTGATTTCAACCATATACTTGCTGAAAGGTGTTTCTTAAAAAACGAGAACAGCTGTTTGGGCTTCTATTGCAGATGTAGTGATGAGTAGTAGTGGTACTTTCCTCACTGCAGTAAAACCAGTGCCCCAGAATGTTTTAAGGGAGCAAATACCTCATACATTTTCTCACTGATGATCACACCTGACTTCTATCTACATTCTGTACTACGTGTTGAAATAAGCCAAGAGGAAGTTGAGAAAGTTAAACCACACAGAGGAACTGATAGACTGAAAGCCCCTCGTGACATCAGATCATTAGTTCACTCGCTTTTCTTTACAGCTGAATGTGAGTTTGGCGGCCTTAGTCCGTCTCTCTCAGCGTAGTCTGTTCAAGAAAAAGGTGAACACATTCAAGGGACTAGTAGCGCTGGTTCTTTCGCTGCTCTGCATGTGATCTGAACTGTATTGCTTTGCCCTTAAGCACAAAAAAAGGAGTTCCAATTAGTTCCAGTGGGACATCTTTTTGCAGTGCAAATTGCAGGCACAATGGGGCTGATCCCATTTTGGTAACAACTTTGTTTTATTTTTAATGAACCAGGTAGCACTAGGTAGCCCCACACTTGAGTTAAGGCCATGTGTAAATTTGGCCCTGAGCCCATGGGAGGTGATAATGTGATTCTGTTGGGATCTTCTTGGTTTCACCTTTATGAGAGGGGGGAAACTCATCAGAACGTTGTGCTTCACTTTTTTGCTTTCTGTCTCAGGTGGTAGCCATTGACCTTGATGAAGGCTTGAATGGTCAAGTGACATACCGTATGCAGGTGGGCATGCCTAGGATGGACTTTGTCATCGACAGCAGCAGTGGTCTTATCAACTCCACAGCTGTTCTAGACAGGGAAAGGATTGCCGAGTACTACCTCAGGGTAGTCGCAAGTGATGCAGGAGTGCCGTCCAAGAGTTCTACCAGCACTCTCACGGTCAGAGGTGACTGAAGAACCGAAACACTCTGGATGCTGTCTCACTGTTACTGCTGTGTCATTCTTTTTTAAAAATAATAAGAATAAGAATAATGTATTTAGTGTGAGTGGTTCTCTGTATTTCAAATGGGATTTCTCACCTTGTCTAATACCTTCAGATAATTTTCTGTGCTTAGGTTGAGTCAAACTAGGGCTTAAATCTGTGGTTCCCAGTGTGGGGCACACACCCCACAATGGGGCAATTTGATTTTTTTTGGGGGGGAGGGGCCAATTCAAGAATGAGTTCAACCAAGTTAATGGTCTTTTAGGCTTCCTCCGCATGAATAGGAGTTCACTTTTTGAATAATAAGAATTATATGGCACAGGGGGAGGCATCAGGATTTTAGAGATGATTAGATGGGACATGGCCAAAAAAAGGTTGGAAACCACTGGCTTAAATGCTCAAGGATTGCCCAGCACAGAAGCTGGGAAAATGCCCACCCAAAACAGCCGAGGGAGAGGAGGAGAAATGAGTAACTTGACTAGGGAGTAAAATTTAAAAGTTCTACCTTGTTGAAGATGCAAATTTTGATGCATACAACCCCACCCCCAAAAAAGGCTCAGGCAAGGAGGTTTGAAAATCTCGCCCGGTCCTGCTGTTGCAGTTCCAGAATTTTTCCACAACAATTTTTAAACTGCCAAGAATGCTGCTGTCGCTCTTTAGGAGCCCTTCCTCCAACATTGTGAGGGCTAGGGCAAAGGTGGGCAAGCCTTGGTTTGATTTCGTGCAGGTGGCAAGGAGGGGTAAAAGGAGAGGGGCTGTCCAAAAGAGAAAGAGAGATTTTAAAAAGAAAGAATGGAGGTGGCAGAAAGAGAGAGGGAAGGTGTGCCTTCACCCACTTCCCATGCTGTGCAAAGAGAACATGAGAAACCCTGGATAATGTGAGAGGAACTCATGCTCTCGCTGTTCCCTGTGCTACCAACCCTCGTGGGAAAGAGCATCAGTATGGGTTCCTGGAGCTTTTCGCGATGAGCAGGTGGGCTGCAGCTCCCATTCTGCTGAAGCAATGCAAGAACCCACCCTTTTTGTTTGTGTTGGCCATTCTCATGGTTGTAGTGATGATAACAAAGAAAGTCGGGTAAGATCCAAAAGGGTTTGGAGGTCACTCTTTATTGGACCAACACGGCCACTCCAATGAAATGTTTAACCTGTTACTATTAGTTCATGTTTAAAATACTTTTTAAAATAAATGATAATAATTTATTTTAGGTTTGACCCCAAGTCATTTATAGCTAGTTTTTAAGGAGTTTTTAAATACAATCTATTATGCACTTTGGAAAGAGTTTCTGTTTGGTTATTCCACATACTTTTCTGCCATACCATGATAGAAGAAAGTCTCCACAACTTTAACTTCAGATGTCTAGGAATAGAACGCATTTGTATGTTTTGAAATGTTATGAACTTACCTCAGAATTGAAGAATATCAGTGACAAAAATGTTTATGATTCTTAACTATTTGTAACTCTGGAACTCCCACAGTCCATTTCACCACTGCCTGTTTGCCCTTTCTCCTACTTCCTTGATTGGGCCTTTTTAGGGTGTAGCTGATGTGGCATAGTTCTGATCCCTAACTGAACTTCTGTGGCAGTCCCTAAGGTGGCGCAACGGGTCTGGGCACCTGGCTGTTAACCAGAAGGTTGGTGGTTCAAGCCCACCCAGAGACTTCCTGAATTGCAGGAAGGTTGGACTTAGATGCCCCTTGGGGGGTTCCTTCCAACTCTACAATTAATATTATTGTAATATGCATAGAAACAACGGGATAAGCAAACACGTGGCTTCTTACAGTGGCTGACGCTCCACCTTTTAGCCGTGCCAGGTATGGCTTTGAAGCATGGCTTAGAGTCGACCTTGATCAAATTCTCTCTTGTAGTTTTAGATGTGAATGATGAGAACCCCACCTTCTTCCCAGCTGTCTACAACGTATCGCTTCCTGAAAACGTACCTCGTGATTTCAAAGTGGTCCGCCTCAACTGCACCGACGCTGATGTGGGTCTCAATGCCGAGCTCAGTTATTTCATCACAGGTATCAAGTCTTTCTGGTGTACTTCAGAAGTAGAAGCCATGTAGTTCGGAGGGGGCAGAGGACACGGGTCAATCTTTATTGCTGTGTCCTCCTTTTTCTTCCTTTCAGATTTTAGCCTCTCCTAGGGTTGGCACTGTGGTCTAAACCACTGAGCCTTGGGCTTGCTGATCAGAAGGTCGGCGGTTTGAATCCCGCAACTGGGTGAGCTCCTGTTGCTCGGTCCCAGCTCCTGCCAACCTAGCAGTTCAAAAGCACACCAAAAAGTGCAAGTAGATAAATAGGTATCACTCCGGTGGGAAGGTAAATGGTGTTTCTGTGCACTGCTCTGGTTTCGCCAGAAGCGGCTTAGTAATGCTGGCCACATGACCCGGAAAAACTGTCTGCGGACAAAAGCTGGCTCCCTCGGCCTGTAAAGCAAGATGAGCGCCTCAACCCCAGAGTTGTTCACGACTGGACTTAACTGTCAGAGGTCCCTTTACCTAGGGTTGGCATTCATCCGGAATTTCCCAGACATTGCCAGGATTTGCCCGTTGGAAACAGTGCCCGGGCAAAAATTGCTGAAATGTCTGGGGAAATCTGGAAGTGTAGGTTTTGGTGAATTTCCTTAAAAATAGCTCAAAAACTTGCAACCCTAGCTTCTCCTAGCCCCAAAGCTCAGGGTGGGTAACATTGAAAAGGCATAAAATCCTACTGGCACAGAACAAAAATAAGCCAACTCTTGGTTTATTAAAGGTTTGGCCTCTTTCCCCTTAACTCCATGCAAAGGAAACCACCACATAATTCTGCTCCTCCATCTGTCACCAAGTAGTGCTCTTTCTCCTCTCCATTCTCTTCCATACTTATTTGGGAGTGGTTCATAGCTGTTTCAAAGCACCCCCACTTCTCTAGCTTGATTCCTGGGGAAGCATCTCTTCCTTGGTCTGTAACCAGCCTCCTTTCCCCCCTTGGGAATCGGTTGTGGCACCATGGTGCAGAGTATTGGTGCAAAGCAGTGTGGGGAAATTCATGTAAATGAAGACAGCCAAGGGGGCTTTTCATCCTGCTGTTAGGTTTGCAACGGCTAATTTGCATGGGGATTTGCATATGTTTCCCTATGATGCTTTGCAAATGATAGCAGAACTGTTTTGGGTTGTTTGCTCCTGAGAATTATCTATGCTTCATCAGACTGAAAGAGTCATCAGCTGCCTTATGTCTGCAGAATGTGGATATGACAATTTGAGAAAGGCATTGTCGCCGAACTCATTTGCAGTGCTTGCCGAAGTGCAGCCCAGTAGGCCATATTCTGATGTAGACAATGGCGTGAAAATAGGTCTTCATCTTCTTTGTAAGGAGCTACTTCCATATAGCAGATAAGTTCTGGGTATGTCCGCATGATTCTTTTGGAATTTTTATACGATTCCTCCTTCAGAATAGGTCAGCCACCTGTAGTAGGCTATCATTTCAAGTCCAGAAACAGGGTGGTCAACATTTGAGATACCTCTTCCTAAACAGGGCCATCTACATCATGGAATTTTTGGGGCCCTTGGCCGCAATGCCATCCAATATGGCGCACGATGCAGCCTGTGTCCCTGTGCACAACCTGTAGTAGTTATGTTTTTGAGTGGTAAGCAATAAGGGACAGCCTGCCTCTCTAAATGAAAGTTTCCTAAACCATGTTTCTGACAGTTGGGATAAGAAAAAACAAGCTGTGCGGCATCTGAGCTGCTGTGTGGTGTAGTGGTTAAGAGCGGTAGTCTCGTAATCTGGGGAACCGGGTTCGCGTCTCCGCTCCTCCACATGCAGCTGCTGGGTGACCTTGGGCCAGTCACACTTCTCTGAAGTCTCTCAGCCCCACTCACCTCACAGAGTGTTTGTTGTGAGGGAGGAAGGGAAAGGAGAATGTTAGCCGCTTTGAGACTCCTTAAAGGGAGTGAAAGGCGGGATATCAAATCCAAACTCTTCTTCTTCTTCTTCTTCTGTATGAAAGCAGTGCTTCCTGGAAGACTTCGGCCATTCTGTGTGTGGATTAATTCTTGCTAACAACAATGCGCAGGAAGCATTACAAACATGCAACATAATCTAGCCAAGTTGAGCCTCACTGACGTCAGCGGAAAATATTTATGTATAATAGTAATAATAATGATCATTTATTCCTTATACCGCGTCCATCTGGATGGGTTTCCTCAGCCACTCTGGGCGGTTCCCAACAGAATATTAAAAACACTATAAAACCATTTAAAAACTTCCCTAAACATCCATGACATGTGTATGTTGTGTGTGATTCTGACTAGCTCAGTTTGTGAACCACCAGCCTGTTACATACACATGTATGGTCTGCTATGTGATTGACAATGTGTTATTCCCCCACCCTTTCACACCCACCCACCTGTGTTTTACACATAGACTTTTGTTTGTTTATACTGTAGTGGCCAGTTTATACTGTAGTGGTCAAAAATAAAATAAAAAAGAACTTGACCGACCCCCCTTTTTAAAGTTTTTTGCAAGAAGCAAAAGTAGGTGATTAATTGATCTGTGACAAACTGTCGTACATGGCTGATGGGGAATTTCAGCTTGCTGTGTCACAAGCTGGGCAGGCCTGCGATCTCACTTTAATTGAAATCAGTGGGACCTAAAAGTATGCACACCTTACAATCCCACTTAAACCAACCAGGTATGAAAGTCCTGGCTCAGATCTTACCAAAAACAAATAAGTTTTCTTTATTGGGTGCCATTGCCCCCCTGGTTGGATTATTGGACCTAGAGTGGCATTCCACAAGCACATATTATTTCCGAAAGCTCTAAAACTTGTCCATTTTCGCCCTCTGCTGCTCAGAGTCCCCAATGACACTCTATATCTTTATTGTACCATTATCGGTTAATGTACAGTATTACATTATAGCGGGAGGGGGGCGGCGAATCAAGAATCAATATGTTTAACGTAGATTGAAAGAAAGCATTGCACAATTATCAAGCCATGCAACCTTGGAAAGCCTTTAAAGCAATAAAGCCACTGTGATTCAACAGCAAATTAAAACAAGTGAGGCTGAGATGGAGTCCTTGAAATCTCTAATTTGGGCCAGCACTGGCAATATGGCTTGCATTTTGCTATTCCATGTAAATTTTGAGCATTCTTAGAAATGCTTTTGGGAAACACACAATTCACACTGAATCCTTAAATGGTTTTAAATTTCTGTGAAGCGCTTAGGAGACAATCCTGCGGCAAGATCTACCAGGATGAGCACCTTAGGACGCAGCAGATCTCTGGATTACCAGACTGATTAGCAACTGGGGTGGGGGGGCGGGACTTAGACTGTGAAACATTACTTTAAAGGCTTGTTGCTGCTGAACTCGGTATGGATCTATTGTAACTTTACTCTGACTCAATTTACACTGGCTTTCTTTATGCCAGTTTATTGTGCCAAGGATTGTTCCCATAGTCAAGTCTCCCATAATCCTGCCCCACAGGGACATAGGTGGTTTTGTGTCTTCTGTGTAAGTAATAGGAGATGTTTCTGCATTATAAGTGGAAATCAGTTTCAGACCTATTTAGCTGTTGGAGGTCTACCCAGGAACTATGGGAACTGTAGCACTATAAAGAGCCTAGATATGGCTGACTAAACTGCGATTCTCAGGCCATGATAGTCAAAAATTGCACAAAACAAGTTTATATTTGTGTATATAACAACTAAAACATGTAAACCGTAATTGGAGTGTGTGTTCTCATTTTTCTTGAATTTTTGAATCCATTTTTCATTCCAGAACGTTGATCATGAGTCCCTTAGGAATGATGTTGTTGACCTTTTTGTGTGTTGATGTACCGCAGTCAGAACTAAAACTGTAAAAATTTATTGTAGCGAAAGACATACTCAGGGCAATAAGACTGACTGGGGTGGATAAATCATTTCAAAAGCATTATCTTTCACATCTTGTGTACAGAGTGATTGCCATGTAGCGTTTGTAGGTGGTCATGCACATAAATGTATGCATGTTCATTGAAGAAGAGCATGTGCTTTCTGAAGATCTTAGTTCCACATTTCATATTCCTAAATACAAGTGTGTGTTTTTTAAAAAAATATGTGCCCTCATTCTTCTTTGAATTCCTTCTTCTTCTTCTTTCCTTTCCCTCGTTTTTATAGGTGGGAACCAGGATGGAAAGTTCAGTGTCGGTTTTAGGGATGGAGTAGTTCGAACAGTCGTCAGCCTGGATAGAGAAACCATCCCATACTATACGCTTATCCTGGAGGCCATTGGTAATGATTCCTGTGGACCGCTTTTGTTTCTGTTATCTGAGCAACTGATGTGTCTCTTCCAGACTGCCTCATTTGGAGTGCAGTGGAGAGGAAACAGTTTGCAAAGGATTCGTACAAATTAATGGTGCAATCTTCTGTTGCCATTTCTGAAGTTTCCCTTCCAATTCCATGAGCAAATCTCCATCACCGTATGAAGCAAGATGGTTTTGTTAACCACCTCCAGTTAATCCTGGGCCTTCCACACACCTTTCTCTCATGTTCTGTAAAGAAGCCCCTTTGTAGCTTTAGATGAGAGGGAAATTCTGTGTCTGATTAACTTGCTAATGATAATATTCCCCAGCGTACTGTGTAGTGAAATGCAGCCAGTCGCTACATACTTGGGTTGAATGTAGATTAATGAAGACAACTAGCA